AATATCATTCATATTCATGTGTTAAATATTTGTCATCATATTTTCATTTTGAATGTAAATCAAATTGAATTTTATGATTATTTTATATGTAAATTTCATCAATCTCATTCATCTCTTCTTTTTCATAAATGTCTATTAATATTCTAATTGTTATCATCATTTGTATTATTTATTGATTTAGTTTTATTCAAATTCATTGAGTCTTCGACTTAATTCCATTTATGGTTTTATATTTTATTCAAAATGTCATCAGAAATAAAAATGTTTAAAATTATTCAGCATAAATATAATGAAGAATATTTATTTAGTACATTACTAATAACAATATTTTATTTATTATATTGTAAAATAACAATATTCTCCATCATTTGGTTTTTATGAAAAATATATAATTTATTGTGTAATATAATGGTTGTTTGAAGTTGAAATAACAAACAATAAACAATATAAAAGATGTCTTGTTACTTTGAGTGTATGCATTTAAATATCAGAAAATATCGAAAGAATAAATTCAATTTGTATGAAACAATGATTAATAATTTAGATTAAAATGTAGACAAGTATTGTAAAACACCAAAAATATATTATATTGTCTGATTAGTCACAATGTATAAATCGTTATAAATAAATTATTTCATATAACACAATATGATAAAATTGAAATTAAAATAGTCTAATCTTTAAAACTATGTAATTAACAGAAAAAAAATAAGTTTGTCATAAATATTAAATAATTAAAAATAATTCACAATACTACTTCTAAAAAAGAGAAATAAATCAAGGATATATTGAATATTTGATGTGTTTCATTGATATTTAGTCTTATTTGTTATGGCATTTATTTATAAATATTTTGAGTAGAAAAATTAATACATCTCATCAAATACAGTGTTTAAGAAAAGATAAAATGACAAGTATGTTTTTATTCGAATGATGCGAATAACTTCTTTTATAACCAATAGTTTGTATATTATTTATTAGTTCAATCAGTTTTGTAGAAAATATTGAATGCAGATTTTTCTGGATGGATTAAAACAATACTAATGATGAATGTAATAAAGTTAAAAATAGTAATATTGATAGATTTGATGATATGAAATTAGAAATTGAATTAATATTAAACGTAAATTCTATACTAAAGATATTTCTTCTTCAATCGGAAAAATTAAGCAATATAATCAACATATTTATTGAATCAGATTGTATTAATTCTACAATATGATTCAATCAACATTTGTAAATAGAATAAATGTGATAATAAAGTTACATATAATAAATGTGATGATATTACAATCAATGATACTAATGATGTTATTTTAACATTTGTTTTATCACATTTATTGAAAATACATTTAATAAGACAAATAGAAAATAGAGTATGATGGAGAGTGTAAATCATCAAAGACATTTATTGTTGAATGTTCTATACTTCCAGAATTTGAATATGAAGAAAATGGTATAAACTCGTGTAGTATTTTCAAAGATCTAGTTAAGATGATAATAGAAAATACAATCACAATTGGTAATCAAACACCAGACCTAACATTTAAATGTATTGAAACAAATGAAACAATTTATAATAATATAAGTAATATGAAATATAAAACTGTGTTGTTTGAAGTTATCTTAAAACTGAAGAGAAAGTTTTTAAGAAAGACGTTAAAACACAAGAAAGTAACAAATTATGTTATTCAAAGAATCGATTAAGAAACACATAATAGTGTTGTACCTGTAATTCAAAGTATTACTGATGTTGTTATTTCTGATGTTCCATTTAGACATTGGATTATTACATTCATTGAAACAGATAAATACGTTGTATTAAATGTATTTCAGAATCACTAATTTTTAAAACAATTCAAATAAATAACTGAGATGATAAAACAAAATATGTGATAGAAAATAATATTACTATCTAATGCATGTTTAAAACACATGAAAATTGTAATTTTGAATTTTTTGAATTATTAAAACAATAAATAATTACACGTGGTGTATACATCAGAATCATATTGAGACTATTTGTTCATTAACTACTGAAAGTGATTCTAGTTATACTAGTGACAACAAATATAATAATCATGACAGTGCTAGTTGTAATACATCAATGACTATTATTAGTATTATTAATTTAGTTGTAGTATAAATCAATCACAATTATTTTTATTTTATCAATGATATTACATCTAACAAATGAATAACAATAATAAATAGTATAAAAAGTTAATCAAATAAATGGTGTAGTTTATATTCTTTCAATAGTTTAAATGCATGAAGAATAAATGAATTTAATACAATAAATAATATACTTTTATATTACCAACAATTTATTCATTCACACTTTAATAATGTAAAGTAGATGAGAGCATAAGAGTGAATAAACAACATAAAAATGAACATACAATAAAAACAATAAAAAGAATGAGAAAATAATAAGAGTATAAAGAGTAAGAATTGAATATCAAGAAAATTAATTCATAGAACTGACACACAATAATACTAAAGAATATTTGATGTGAAAATCATTATATTTTCAAAGTGGATAATCATCTATTGAAATAAAACTACCAATCATGTTATAAGCAAGTATGTCTCATAAAAGAAAAGATAGAGATGCACAATAAGATAATGAAAAGGATATAAGCAATAAAAAAAAATAATTAAAAGAATAATTAAAATAAATTAGAAATATAGTAAAAACCCTAAATATAAGTCATAATTAATAAAGAAATAGAGAGAGAATCAAGAGAAGAAGAAGGAGAAAGAAGAAGTAGACCGTACTCTTAGGATCATTTCTATAGTACAGTCAATCCATTATCCGTCTTAAAAATAACAACAAGACAATAGGATGAAGACTAAATAACCAACAACACCAACGGGAGATAAACAGTTGGAAACAAATGTACAATGAACGGCTTGAAACAATCTAAAGAAAGAAATTTCCAAAGAAAGTTCAAGAGGTGATGTTAGGGTGTCTGACTATCTTTTTATGAAATACTACCATTTACATTCATTTTATTGATACTTAAACCATATAAAAATATGCAGAATTGACTGGAGCATAACAAAAGAAATATAAAGAAATAAAGGATTTGATGAACAAATTGTATCAAAACATGAAATAATAATAATAACACAAGACACAAAAATAAAGTACAAATAAGAAATATAATAGATTCTAAAGATATCAAAACAGAAAATACTTGATAAAATGAAAATAGAATAAACAAAATGTAGTAAATCAAATATATCCTAATAAGAAACAAGAAAAACCAACAAATAATAAACAAAGACAATAAAAGATAAATATAGTAATTGAACATAAGAAAAAATATAACATACAAAAGAATAATAAAAGAAATAAGAGACTATAAAAGATAAGAATAAATATATGAAATTTGTAAATTAAGAAAAAGGAAAATAATAAAACAAAAGTAAATCATCTAAATCTAGTTTAAATTCATATTAATAACTAAAACGAAAATAAACGAAGATGGAGAAAGTAAATTATACATGATTAATATAAAATATATATCAACTGTAATATTAATAGAAATCAATAGTTAGTAGTTTATTGTCGGTTTTTATAAGAATACAAACTATTAATTCAGTCATTAATTAACAAAGTAGTCAAGTTAGTTATTGTCTTCTTTTTGTTTGTTCATTTCTTGTAATTAATATCATCAAAAATATGTTCTAGATGTGTTTATTCTTCTTTAACGTTTCTACACAACAAATTTTATGTAAATATCTATTTCCAAATGATTTAATTGATAAATGTTATTGATAAATGTTAGTCTTTATTCTGAAACAACTTCATATCATATCATATTTTATTTTTTTATTGGTTATTAATTACTCTAAATGACTTGAATCTCCAACACATTTATTTTATATTTTTGTTTGTTGTTTGTATTTGTATGCATATAATTAAATAAATTAATACTGATATTTATATTATCAATATTGTTTACAAATTTTGTTCTTTATTTGTTCTTTCTTTTATTTAATTCATCACATTTATTGCTCATTAACGTATGATATAAAATGATTTTATTTCAATTACAACAATTGAAAAATAGTAGAAATCCATTCAATTAAATTGAAATAAAATAAGTAGAAATGTTTGTGTCATAATTAAATTGAAATATAATTAATACTTATAATGTTTTATAATTAAAACAAACAAAACATTAAGAAATAAGCAAATTAATTTATTATGCATCACATCCTATATCATTTATTATATTTGGTGTTGATTTAAAACATTATAAAAATACAATGAAATACTTTTAATTAAGTAACAATCAATTGTATCAAAATAATGGATGAAATATAAACATATATTACTAAAAGTGAATTTAAAATTAATGAATAGAAATGAGAAAATAAAATGAATGATTGTGTTAATACTCTCTTTATTATTTATTCTCTTTTATTTTTGATTTTCTTATTTATTCTTTACATTTGTTTATATCATTTTTATATTGCAACTTAAATATTCTTGTTTATTTGATTTATGTTTATTTCTGATTCTATTAGTTATTTTAATAGTAACATTTCTAGAATACTACCAACTATCTTCATATC